GTTAGAAAAAGAAAACCTGCTAAATTAAGAGAGTAAAAAAAAAAATAACTTTGTATGTTAAATTAACCGGAATGTACATGGGAAGGGAATCTGATAGTCTTTCAGAAAATAAATACATAATAAAGTCAAGTTGACATTAGGGACATAGGATGTCAACAGTAAAGAGCTTCTGAATGTATCAATAGATCCATGAGGAAGACTGGATCACTACCTACCCTTTTTTTTTTTTTCTACATAATCAGGTTAGTTTAGAATGAAGTAGAGATAAGGACTGACAAAAGTAATGGTTAACATGAAAAAAGGATGAATACAACAGTTTCAGGACACGCAGTTTAACTGACAAATCAGCATCAGGGCATCTCTGGAATGGGGATTTCACCCATTTTTAGTTACCTACTATTTCAAATATAAAATAGACATAACTTTGGAAAACAAGCTGGAAATCTGAGAAAAACCTAAATGTGAAATAAGAGCTATAAAATAAGACTTCTAAATAAGTATGAATTCTTTTGATTTTTAAAAATTTACTAAAATCTTATTTATCATTTTTGGAATCTCAAAACAAGTAATACTGCTTATATATTCAAGTAATTACTTGAATCTCAAAACAAGTAATACTGCTTATATATTTGTTCAAGATAATTTTTGTTTACTATAATTTACCGTAACAAAAAGTTTTGTTTAGTAAGATAAACATTAACTGCTAGTATGTGCTTCCTAAAATAAGAAACACTGGCAATCTGTGATTGCTACCTCAATATACTATTTATTTTGTAATAAGCTGAAAAGTTCTTATCTTTTTACAGATATGAATAACATATTTAGACTTCATAATGTCTCAAAAGAAATGCCCCTTATTCATTTATTCAACAGATCCATTCTGAGGGCCTACTATGAGCCAAACCTTGTTTTTGGCATTTAATTACTATGATTTAAAATGTTATTTATGGTTAAAATAAAAATATTAACAAAACTTCAAGAGGATGAAAAAGAGAGAGAATAAAATACTGACATCACACAAGGACACTTTCCAAAGTTAAAGAGGAGAATGGTAGGCATACTGTTGTGTCTGGCACTGTTAGGACTTAGTATCTTTGATCTCCAAAAATTTACCGAACAATAGAGACAATTTATTAACATACATGACTTAAAATATTTAACAAACAGAAAAGTATCCATATCAGGGTAGTATCAGAAACTAGTGTAGAAAAGAAAAATTTAAAAGAATACTGTGCCACTTTAACAGAGCTGTAACTTCTATTGCAAGGTAATATGTGATACTGTAACTGTATTTTAATACTATAGGATGATTTAAATTTGTCTTGAAAGAAGAGTATAATAACTGGTACCAAAACAGATATATAGACCAATGGAACAGAACCTGTCTCTTATACACATCTAGATGTGTATAAGAGACAGGGTGCGCACCTGTAGTCCCCGCTACTCAGGAGGCTGAGGCAGGAGAATTGCTTGAACGCAGGAGGCAGATGTTGCAGTGAGCCGAGATCGCACCACTGCACTCCAGCCTGGTGACAAAGCAAGACTCCGTCTCAAAAAACATACATACAAACAGACAAACAAACAAGATTCTCTAAAAAAGGATGTCACCTTCCTTATACAACCACAATCTTTTAGCATATTCAGAAATCACACTTTTAACTTCTCTAAGAATTTGCAATTGTGACAGATAATTCCACTCTTTTTAATAGCACACAAGTTAAAATTATGAAGAAACAAATTTCTCCATGAGGAAAAAGGAAAGACCACTGGACTGAGTCAGGTGGGTAAGTTACAACTTCTGCGGGTCTTGGTTTCTGCATCTATAAAAATTGGGGAAGCAGTACATGTCCTATGCATGTCACATGGATGTTGTAGAATCAAATAAAATCAACTCAAACCATCTATATGGAAGGGTATGTTGGCTGTGAAGCCTATGCAAATGAAAGGTGGTATTATTAACAAATGCATGAGTCCGTTTTCAGTAAAGACAGATAAAATTATTTTAGCAGCCAGATGATGTGATGATGAGCAGGACTAAGCAAATCAAACAGAGTGAAAATAGGAGCCAAAGAAGCTGGCTTTCACTTGGGGCTCCTTTTTCAGTTCTGGGAAACTAAATTTTCTTCAAATCTGTACTTGATTTTATTTCTCCAACTGCTTCAAAGAAAACATATGTCTGCACCCTTCTCCCTACTTTTTAAATTACGATGTATTGATTATAAAATACTAAGAATGAACAAATAAGCAAAGCCAAAAAACAAACTAAAATACACAAAAAAAAAACCCCTTAAGTTTCAAAACCAAGAGAATTGGTGTGCATGTCAACTCTTTGAGACTTAAAATATGTACTCTATACATCCAATCTAAAAACTTTATGTGCCTTTTAGCAAACTATAAGCTGTTATTTCTTACCCCAATTCCACAAAAGAAGCCTTCAGGCTATCAAGAGGAGCATGAGATAATGAAAGCAGCGTCATTACATCTTCTAAGAATCCAACTAACAGTTTTCGGTCTTCTTCCTACAGACAAAAAATACTGATAATGAATATCCAAACAATCAAGTAGAACTAAATACCATATTTACCTATCTATAATAAGAAAATGTTACCAAATAAGGGGAAAATATCCAAATTTTGAAGCTATTTTAATTAAAAGATATTTATTAAGCATATCTATCATCAGAATGGTATGAAGACAAAGACTATCCTGATACTTTAATTTAGACCTGTGGTCTAATATAGTAGTAGCCACCAGCCACATGTGGCTACTTATATTTAAATTTAAATGAGAAATTATGTAAAGTGAAAGATTCAGTTCCTTGGTCGAACTGGGTACAGTGCAAAGGCTTAATGACACATGTGGCAAGTGCCTATCTGATTGGACAACTCAGCTACAGATCATTTCCATCACTGTAAAAAGTTTGGATGGTTGGTCCTGATTTAGAACATTAAAAGGTATAATCTTTTATTAAAATTTACCTTACCAATTTTAGTTCCCATGAATTTTGGCTCTACATAATACAAACTACAAGAACAGTTACCCCCTTGTAGAAAAAATAGTAGAAAATTGATTTCTAAGAAATTATCTTTGCAATATCCTAGTGATGAAAACTGCACGCTTGGTAAAATATAGACTACTGTGTTCTTTTAAGAAACAGATGCACACCTTGATTAAAAAATACCTTGTATTTTTCAAACTTTCTTCAACGAACTATTATTACTTTCATAATCAGAAAATACGTTAGAAAAAGAAAACCTGCTAAATTAAGAGAGTAAAAAAAAAAATAACTTTGTATGTTAAATTAACCGGAATGTACATGGGAAGGGAATCTGATAGTCTTTCAGAAAATAAATACATGATAAAGTCAAGTTGACATTAGGGACATAGGATGTCAACAGTAAAGAGCTTCTGAATGTATCAATAGATCCATGAGGAAGACTGGATCACCACCTACCCTTTTTTTTTTTTCTACATAATCAGGTTAGTTTAGAATGAAGTAGAGATAAGGACTGACAAAAGTAATGGTTAACATGAAAAAAGGATGAATACAACAGTTTCAGGACACGCAGTTTAACTGACAAATCAGCATCAGGGCATCTCTGGAATGGGGATTTCACCCATTTTTAGTTACCTACTATTTCAAATATAAAATAGACATAACTTTGGAAAACAAGCTGGAAATCTGAGAAAAACCTAAATGTGAAATAAGAGCTATAAAATAAGACTTCTAAATAAGTATGAATTCTTTTGATTTTTAAAAATTTACTAAAATCTTATTTATCATTTTTGGAATCTCAAAACAAGTAATACTGCTTATATATTCAAGTAATTACTTGAATCTCAAAACAAGTAATACTGCTTATATATTTGTTCAAGATAATTTTTGTTTACTATAATTTACCGTAACAAAAAGTTTTGTTTAGTAAGATAAACATTAACTGCT